CCCTCTCCTCCTCCTCTGGGGGCCCGCGGGGACCCGCCCCCGAGCGGCGGCCTGGCGCTGCTGGCGCGCTGAGCATGCCCTCTGGTCCTCCTGCAGGACGTCCGCAGGGCAGCGGGGGAGCGGCGGGCGGCGGGCATGGCCGCTGCCTGGAGGCGCGCGCTGCTGGTCCTGCTGGCCTCGCACGTGGTGTCCGCGGCGAGCTCCTCGGACGAGGACGAAGTTCCCGAAGAGTGGCTCCTCCTGCACGTTGTGCAGGGCCAGATAGGAGCCGGGAATTACAGCTACTTGAGGTTGAATCACGAGGGGAAGATTGTTCTTAGGATGCAGAGCTTGAAGGGAGACGCAGACCTGTACGTGTCGGACAGCACCCTGCACCCGAGCTTCGACGACTACGAGCTCCAGTCCGTCACGTGCGGCCAGGACGTGGTGTCCATCCCCGCGCACTTCCAGCGCCCCGTGGGCATCGGCATCTACGGGCACCCGTCCCACCATGAGAGCGAGTTCGAGATGAAAGTGTACTTCGACCGCAGGATCGAGCAGTCCCCGTTTGCCGAGGTCGCGGTCTTCGATGGCAGGGACCCTGCGCACAGGCACGCCCACGCCCCCGAGGACGCGCCCCAGGAGGAGGAGTCCGTGCTCTGGACCATACTCATTAGTATTCTGAAACTGGTCCTCGAAATCCTGTTCTGATTCACTGAACATGCTCTGGAACCTGGGAAGTTGATTGCAGTTCTCTCTGAATCCAGCTACCCTGGTCTGGTGGAAATTCTGGTTACTTTAATTGGGGGGTGGAAAAATAAAGCCATACAGTTTTGTTACCTCATATACCCCAAAAGTAGGGAAAGCAGCAAGAACGATGTTTTTTTCCTCCAAATGTCAAAATTCCTGTAAAAGGAATACGCACAATAAAATGTTTAAACTCCAGTTTGATTAGCTTGTCAGGTGACTAAAAATATTGCAGTAACCCAGGTATATATAAAATAAATCGAAACAGAGCATCAGATTAAAAGGTTGGTAGCTAGAACTGTATTCTGGTTAGATTCCCAATGCAGTTACAACGTGTAGACCTTGAAGAGTTACTAAAAGCAAGTCTGAAATGTAATGATTTCTGGGGATTTGCGTGGGTATGGGGCAAAAGCCCCGTGCCTGTTCCCCAGGTCAAGTGGGCACCCGTCTCCAGACAGATTTCCTGGCAGACCCAGGTTCCGAATCTCATCAGGTCATTTGTTATTTATCACCTTGGGCTACCTATTTAAAATTCTTCTATCATTAAGATAACTGTTATGCTACCCACAATAGGCCAGAAACAATATAGACTAGGAAAATTTCATGCAAATACTAGTCACTTTCAGGTCAATGGAGAAATAGTTGAGTATTTCAATTAAACTGCCTAATATTTCCAACTGAATTTCTGGATAGAGCCAAAGTACTAAGAGATTAAAAGAAACTTTTGGAAAATGAACTGTTATTTCTCTACTTGTAATTGGTTTCAAGGGTAAAAGTGGCTTATAACAAATAAATCAACTTGCAGATTTTAAGCACATAGTTAATTTCAGAATCTTTTATTGGCATAAAATTGAGAATGTAAATAAGCTGGCACCAAATATTTCATTTAAATCCATATTTTATCCCTCTTTGCTGTTTTTCCCCCTTCTGCCCACTTTCCTGGGTGTTGGGGGGGCTCGCTGACAACAGTCACAAATCCAGCGACCTAGGAGAAAAATTGTTAGTTAATAATAGTACGAAATTTAATTCTTTAGGACTGAATTTTAAACCCATTTGGCTCTCCTTCCTTAGCTATTGCTGATGATACTTTTCTGTGGATTTGTGATGTGTAGGACACTAATGAGTTTCTTAAGGAGAAAAATGTAAACTTCCCTTCATCAGTGTAATCAATACCATATGAAATTCAGTACCAATGGGGGGTGGGGTGGGAGGAGCGATTCTATACAATGATACGGATTTTAAAAAATTATTACAATCCTTTCTGAAACCTAAACAGTATCCTACTTGCAGAGTTCAATACTACAAACCTCATATAAAACCTGTTAGAGGGCTTGGCTTATTTTCCAGCCCTTTTCTCTGCTGCTCAGTGGCAGTTCCCAAGGCCTGGTGTACCAGACACAGCATTTAAAACTGATCAGTGATAAACTGTACCATGTACTCCATCTGACTTAACTACAGAACTTCAAGTTGCCTGCTTCTTAATGATTCCCAGGAAACTTAGTTCTTGGCATATATTTTATAAAAGTATTATACAGTGTTAACTATGCAAATAAGTTCAGATTTACACAATTATGTGTAATATTTTAGTCCAAGTACTGTGATTTATTCTTCAACTCTGTGTTCATTCCAAAGTTACCTGGAATTGTCATGCTGCCTCATTTTATATAAATCTGGTTTAATATTTATAAAGGCATAGCAGTCATTTTTGTTAAGTTTCTGAATAGATGATATAAAAATAAAATCAAGGCTTTGAAACAAATTGATGCTCTTGCTTTAGTTCTTTCAGTAGGAAGACATGAGTTCACTCTACATTGAACTCTACTTCCAATACTTGGATGGGGCACTCTGACATCCCATTTGTCCTTTAGTTGGATTACCTAGGGATGAAAAGCAGGCGGATGTTATCTGGATAATCACAGCTTTGGTCACTTCTTATGAACAGAAGGATCCTTAAGGTGTTTATGCAGAGCCTTTAAAAAAAGGCTAGGAGAGTCCCTCCACTCAAAGATAATGTTCCTCCGTTTTTCAGTCTTTACCTGATGGAATAGCACCAAGGCCCACACAAAAAGTATGATAACCTCTGTCACACACATCACAGAACATCATTTCTTCTTCGTGGTGGGGTTGTCCACATATAATGCAAGTTTTACATTCCATACACTGCCATGGGTAGGTCTTAATCATAGAAACAAGCTCCATGGTCATATCCAGGCAAGAAGGATGGCCTAAACCAAAACCAGCATTAGTATTTCACAACAGAAGTTTGAACTTAATATGGCATAATAAAATGCTAGTTTGCTTGGAGTTCTCGAGAATGGCTACAGTGTTTAATCACCAAAAAAATGAAAATACAAGAAGTAGAGGAAAATACATGGGCTGCTTTTCTATGCCTCACACGTTACCCTATATATGAGATGATTCTTTGTTTCAGGTCTGACAACGAAAATGCCTCGTTTTTGAGGCAACAAATAGGGCGGTTAAAATGTTAAGAAGACACGTTAGTACTTACCACTATTCTCACACTGGGAGCAGTGTATAAGTGATTCAGCCTTCCCTTTCTTGTTGGACTCCTTACCCTTCAGACAAATTCCACATAGAGCATTTGGAATGACCTTTGGCTGGAAGGGTAGAAGAGGGCTATAAATTCATGCCAGAAGAACTTACTATGGGTTCATAAGGAATTGTTACTGCCTTATCTTTACTTTTGGTAACTTGCTCATGAGGACCTTTTTGAAAGACCTCACTTGAGAAAGCCAGCTTTCAACATATGATGGCCTACTGACTAAAGCCTTAGATTTTGTTTAAAAATTCTGTCAACAGCGTGATCTCATGTCAGGATTAAATGTAGCATTCTACACTCCCTACGTGCACAGTAAGGTCTGTATAATGAACTGGAAGGGAAGACTACAATGTCAAATTGCACTATTAACTGGAAGAGAAAATCCAAGTACCGAATGACCATCACATGTATAGTCAGGCTTACTGAAAAATGGAAGGCTCCATGTTAAGCAGCTTATATACTGGTTTTGTTTAAAAACCGATTATTTTCCAAAGTTGTAAAAACAGATCTATAAAATCCAAGTTACAAGAATCAATATGGTTTAACATTTTTAATTGAAAGATGTCTCATCCATACATTGTCATGTGCATAAATGTTTCTGGAAACCAAGCTATTATTCCCTTTGCATATCTAATAATAAAAGAGCCTGTGCTTAGGGGAAAAGCATTCCATAAGAGATACAAAACATAGAAGAGGAAAGTAAGTTTTCAGACGAGCAAAAAAAAAAATCATCACTTAAAAAATTACAGACACCCTCATATTCTTGAGTACCATTCATTTTTCAGATTAAAGCCTTGCTCAATCCAATGAAAGTATTTGGGCTTTAAAAAACACTTAGCAACACATGGAAAAGGACAAAGAAGAAAAGATTCACAGCACCTATGATTATCAGGGGAGGGAGAACATACAAACATCACAGCTTTGACCATAATAAGATGATGTTCATTCATGCTACTTGAATACGTAAGTAAATGGTGGCAGAAAAAGAAGAGCAAGCATGGGCCAAGTAGGAGATGGGCCAGGGGCATACGTGTATACATGACCTGCAGGAAGATTCTCTTCAGCAGGATTGTGGTATTTCTGTTTTATTCCAACCCAGCCAAATACATCTTCTATTTCCCTCTCCTAAGTTACTAACCCAAAGAGGAGCCTAAAGGAAACTCCCAACTTTGTATATAGCATTCCAGCTTTGAAATGTCTCACTGCCACCTTCAAAACCTGTTAGGCCTAAACAATTTGTTAATTCTTTAAATTTTTTATGTCTTAAATTGTCTTTCTTTGCAAAAGATGACAGAGGCATTCAAAAATAATTTTTGGCTTATTTATTTAAAAAAAAAGTCAACCTTATACATAAATATAATAACAGTAACTCTAAACAATCACAAATGTCTCTACAAAATAATAAATACCATGGAAGTTAAAACATACATATAAAGCTTTACCGTTCACTATTCTACATCTGTGTATCTGCATACCCTGCTCCCCCAACAAAAGGATAGTGTCAAGGCTCACACCGTGTGCGTCTTGCAGTGCAGTTACCCTCCGTTGTTGCTGCTACGTTCTAAGCAGGAGGTTCTCACTGTGCTTCCTACACCTAAATACAAAAGAGCTAGAAGTGCACTTCTATGATCCGAGTTCTGATCCAGTGATGACCACATCTGTAACTGCCATAATATACAGCAGAAAGCTACCTCTCAATACACCAAATAAGAACTCTGTTGGTTACGGCACCTGCACTGAACGTAGAAGACTTATTTAATACTTGTAGTCGAAGTTAGATACTGGCATATACCAAGTATTCGAGTATCTTTCACTAAAGTCAGGGAAGTAACTACATAGTATTAAATTCTAAAAGAACTCCTCATAGGAAACCCTTTACAAAAGTCAAAAAGGAATCAAACACAAGGCTAGTCATTCACATTCTAGAGCAATTCAAGTTCTACAGCCATTAAAATATAATTAAACACCTATGATAAAAAAAGGGACACCAAGAAAATTCTAGGTTTACTTCTAAGCTTAAAATCATAATATTTTGTTAAACCATTTAAAATGTTTCTTACCCAATAGTCTTCATCTTGATGAAAAGAGGGAGTGACGGGGTGGAGAAGAGAGAGAGAAAGAGAGAGAGACAGAGCTTTGTAGCATTTCCTATGGCAATTCTTTGTTCACTCAAGCACTCTGAGCTCTCTGAGAAGCCACCCTGCTCACACCCAGGACCGCCAGTTGGGAAACTAGTCTCTGAAGGAGACTCCTCTGATGGAGGAGGAAGGAACAGTGTGCAGAACTCCCATGAAGACTGATGGAACAGAACCCTATGTCTGACGGTCAGTTCTACTTCTAGTAAGTGCAACAACATCAAAGTTTCACTATTGATAAGAAAATTAAAATACTCATCCTAATGGTTCTCAGCATCTCAAATAAAAGGCTCACAATACACTGACTTTCCTGCTTGAGAAATAACCAAAGATAAGTGAGACTTTCATGGTAGCACTAATATAGTATAGATTTTAATTATAAACTTGTCACATAGGCCTGAATCCTAACAATTATGCTTTAATTGCAGGTTAATGTAACCTAAACAATACTGTCCTACAAATTAAGGGCAAGCACTAGTGAATCTTATTAAGCAAGACATCAGATACGTCATCACTTTTCTTAACTCCAACATATTTATATATATGACCTTCAGCTTGAAGTACCCTAATATTTAGGCACATCTTGGCTTATTAATATTTTTCATACAGAGGTTACTTTTAATAAACATGTTCACATTAATGTATTAAGTCTAGATACCGGTTGTTCCAAACTTTGAAATACCTGAAACATTTTTAGGTACTAAAAATGTTCACAGAAATTATAAAATGTGTATTTTGCATATTACGCTCCCTTGAGTAATACCAATTTAGGTCAATCTATAGGATTTCTTCTAGATTAAATCAATGATACTGTGGAATAATTCATTTTCAGCCTCTATTAAAACATCTGCTTCACCATTCGCTCCTCTGAACCCACGATGAATCCAGGCTTATTATGAAAGGTCTCCTTAATGCTGACACTGTGCTCTGAACTGCGACTCCCATCGGAAGACCGCAGCACACTTTGCAGCACACACACCAGGCTAACTTTCCAAGGTTTAATCTTTGGAGTTCATTTGCTTTCAATTATTAAGCATTAATTTATATCTTAAGTTTAAAAAATTAGGTAAGCTATCTATGTAAAAACAAGTATAAAAAACACACAGCTGCAGCCTGTTGAAGCCATCCTTGGAAGCCAACCCTTGCCAAATGAAGCTTAAGATTTGCTTGCCATAGGCTGAAAAAACATGGATTTTTAAATTGATTATGTAATGGCATTTTCAAATTAAATATGGATTAAATTAAACACTAATTTGTTAAGTTGCTTTGTTTACTTCAGGAAAAGAAAAGTAAGCAGACTGCTAGAAGGGTCCGGCTGAGGAAGGGAAGTTGGCTGGCAGCCCGCGTGCACCTGTTCCTCTAGATCGTCCACTGTGACCACAATCCTGACCCACAACAAGATGCTTTTAACAATTCCATTCAGCAAAACTGCTCCATCACCTTACTCTAAAACGTTCCTTCAAAACACCTTCATAACCACAGTTAAAGGCATATTCAGATATACTCCAGACCATATGAATGGTCTATTTTACTATCACCATCCAGAACATAAAACCATGCAGCTGATTTCACCCCCTCCAGGACATTCCTAAACCCCCATCATGTAGGGATAGGGCTACTCACCTCTCACCTAGCCCTCGGAAGGGGAGGACGGTAACAATAATATTGCTGATAACATACTACCTTACTCTGAGAAGAGCCAGACCAGAAGTTCATGACTTCAGGGATTTTTGAGGGTATATATATATATATATATATATACACGTATATATACATATATATACGTGTATATATATATATATGTATACTTTCAAAACACTGTCCAGGTGATTCTATTTCACACCTCTGGCTGAAAAATCCTCTATCAGCCACTCTAACAATTTAACAGCAATGTCTGCTCTGGCATTAGGACATGCCGCCACCACGAGGGTCTGCCCTAGGTGAGGCCGTATGTGCCAAAAAACTAGTCTGGCTCCTTGTAGTAAAAACATAAGGTGCCTTGGAATACTTATCCCTGGGCATCTGATATACCATGCTTTCTATTAAGGTCCCGAAGATCCCCCCCACACCCGAAGTTGCAACATGCTGCATGTCAGTTAGGTATATATTACAGAACTTACTACTGTCTTTCATTGATTCTAAGATGAGGTTTTCTTCCCCCACATGTTAACATCTCTGAAACTGAGACGCATTTTACAATTGATGGAGTCTCACCATTTACTTTACAACAATTTTTTTCCTATTGGTATCCAAAAAGTGGTAGTGTGTCTTATAATGGCTGGGACCTCAGATTGGATGAAACACAGTAGTATGTTTTATATGTCCCCTGTTACTATACCATAAAACTTATTTTATTGCTTATCTCCTACACTCGGATGGAAGCTCCAAGAGGGCAGGGGTTTTTGTCTTTTGCTTGCGTGTGTGTTTATAATTTTTTTAAGTTTTATTTATTTGAGAAAAAGGGAGAGAGAGAGAGCAGGAGCAGGGGAAGAAGCAGAGGGAGAAGCAGACTCCCTGCCAAGCGGGGAGCCTGATGCAGGGCTCGATCCCAGGACCCTGAGATCACGACCTGGGCTGAAGGCAGACACTTAAC